ACCCAGGAGGCGGAGGTTGCGGTGAGCCGAGATCGCACCATTGCACTCCAGCCTGGGTAACAAGAGCGAAACTCCATCTCAAAAAAAAAAAAAAAAAAGAATCTAGAGATAAACTATTAGATAATCATGTTCACTAGATACAAGGTCCATATAGAAATATTAATTGCACCTGGATATTAAACAATTGGGTAAAAGTTTGAAGAATAATTACATAGTTCCAAAGTATTTTCCACAAGAGACCTACTAATTACAAAGTATAAAATGATAACTTTATAGTGGAAAAACTTGGCAGACATACCTTAACTAGGTGACTGAAGTTAACATTGCCAGTAATAGGACAAATCAGTATGATGAGACGCTTGATCTGAAGCACTGAGAAAAAAAATCCCATCATTTTGGTGGTGTTACTGCCAAAATGCATAACCTGAATCTAATATTGATAGAACATCAGACAAACCCAAATTAAGGTATATTCTACAAAATAGCCAAATTCCTCAAGATGCTGCAGTCATAAAAGATAAAGATTAAGGAACTAGCATTCCAAATTAAAGAGACTAAAGAAACATTAAAAACCAAATACAACAAATGATTGGGGCTGGGCGTGGTGGTGGCTCACACCTGTAATCCCAGTACTTTGGGAGGCCAAGGCGGGCGGTTCACCTGAGGTCAGGAGTTCAAGACTAGCCTGGCCAACATGGTGAAACCCTGTCTCTACCTGAAATACAAAAAATTAGTGTGGTGGCATGCACCAGTAGTTCCAGCTACTCAGGAGGCGGAAGCAGGAGAATCACTTGAACCTGGGAGGTGAAGACTGCAGTGAGCCAAGATCAGGTTCACCCTCTGCCTACTGTGTTCCAGTAATTCTCCTGCCTCAGCCTGAGCACTCCAACCTGGGTGACAAGAGTGAAACTCCATCTCAAAAAACAACAACAAATGATGGGATTTATGTTTTCTTTACTACAGTGGTCATTATTAGGACAATAGGCAAAATTTGAATAAGGTCTGTAAATTAGCCAGACCTTATTCAAAATTCAAACGATAGTAAAGATTTAATGTTAATTTCCTGATTCTGTGATGTGTGGTTTATGTAGGAGAAATTCTTTTTAGGAAATATCCACTGACATATTTAGAGATAAGGTTGACTGTGTGCAACTCAATCTTAAACAGTTGAGGAAAAATATGTATATTTAAAGAGATAGTGAAAAAAATGGATAAAACAAATTAGTAAAATGTTAACGTGTGGGGAATCTAGGTGAAGAAAACTTAAAATATTCATGGTATCAAAAAATATCAGCAAATTATGAATACATTAATATAAGGTGTTCAAGATGTAAGGTGTTCAAGATCTCTACACAGAAAGCTGTAAAACATGACTAGGAAAAATTAATGAAGGCCTGAATAAATGGAGGAATATTCCATGTTCATGGATGAGGGACTCAATTTTTTTTTTTTTTTTTTTTTTTTTGAGATGGAGTCTCGCTCTGTTGCTCAGGCTGGAGTGCAGTGGTACGATCTCAGTTCACTGCAGCCTCCACCTCCTGGGTTCCAGTGATTCTCCTGCCTCAGCCTCCTAGGTAGCTGGGAACACAGACACATGCCACTGTGCCCAGCTAATTTTTGTATTTTTAGTAGAGACATGTTAGCCAGGATGGTTTTGAACTCCTGATCTCAGGTGATCTGCCCATTTCAGCCTCCCAAAGTGCTAAGATTACAGGTGTGAGCTACTGCATCTGGCCAGACTGTCTTTTAAAGTAATCAGTTGTCTCCAAATTGATCTGGATATTCATTGCAATTCCAATTAAAATTCCAGTACAATGAGTGCAGGTATCTACGAATTGATATGCTGACTTTAACCTTTTAAGTCAAATGCAAAAGTCCAAGAATAGCTAAGATTCCTTGAGGGAAAAAAAATGTTGGAGGACTTGCACTACTAGATTTTTATTATTTATTTATTTATTTATTTATTTTTTTGAGGTGGGGTCTCACTCTGTCACCCAGGCGGGGGTGCAATGGCACAATCTTGGCTCACTGCAACCTCCACCACCCAGGTTCAAGTGATTCTCATCCCTCAGCCTCCTGAGTAGCTGGGATTACAGGTGCCCACCACCATGCCCTGCTAATTTTTTGTATTTTTAGTAGAGACAGGGTTTCGCCATGTTGGCCAGGCTGGTCTTGAACTCCTGACCTCAGGTGATCCACCTGCCTTGGTGTCCCAACGTGCTGGGATTACAGGCATGAGTCACTGCACCTGACCTACACTACTAGATAGTAAGACTTATTACAAAGTTACAGTAATTAAGACAACTTAGAATTAGTGCAACGTAAAACAGATCAGTGGAACAGAATATGGTCCAGCAGCAGATTCAAACATACATAGTCACTTTATAAGGAAGGTGATACTGTAGTACAGTAAGGAAGAGATAGTCTTTTCAATAAACACATAGTTGGCTATCAATATGGAAAAAAAAAAATCTGGACCCCTGCCTTCCCAGCATATGCAAAAACAAAAACTCCAAGGGAATTATAGATCTTGACATAAAGGTCAAACAGTGGTGCTTGTGCAAGACATGACAGAAGATCCTCATGATCGGGAGGCAGGCAAAAATTTCTTCAACTTACAAAGAAAAAGACAGATACATTTGAATACATTAAAGACCTTTGTTCATCAGATTCGCCATTAAGAGTGAAAAAGCAAGCTACAGATCAGAAGAGGATACTATAATACATATAACCAACTAAACCCTTACATCCAGATTATATAGAAAACTTGTAAAAATCTATAAGAAACAGATCACTCATAGGAAAATGATCAAAAAGACTTCATCAGGTACTTCAAAAATATTTAAATGGCCATTAAGTATAAAGATACTCATCTCATTTGTCATCAAGGAAATACAAAGTAAAACCACCATGAAATACTACTATACATCCAATCCACCCAAATGTCTAAAACAATGTGGAACTCGTACATTCCTGTGGGAATGGAAACTAACACAGTATTTTGGAAAACTTTAAGTATTTACAAAAGCTAAATAAACACATAGTTGCACTTATACCTTAGGGCCGGGGTCCCCAGTCCCCAGGCTGTGGACTGGTAGATTAGGAACTGGACTGTTAGGAACTGGGCTGCATGGCATGGGGTGAGCAAGCAAGCATTACTGCCTGAGCTCCACCTCCTGTCAGATTCTTACAGCATCGTGAACCCTTTTGTGAACTGCACATGCAAGGGCTCTAGCTTGCGCTCCTTATGGGAATCTAATGCCCAATGATCAAGGTGGAACAATTTCATCCAGAAACCATGCCCCACTCCCACCCCTGCAACCTGTTTGTGAAGAAATTATCTTTCATGAAACCAGTCCGTGGTGCCGAAAAGGTTAGGGACCGCTACCTTAGGGCCCACCAATTCCAATCCTAGGTATATGTCTAACAGAAATGCATATATATGAATAACAAAAGATGTGTAAAAGAATGTTCATCGCAGCGGTATTCACAATAGCTGAAAATGGAAGCACAATGTCCATCAACCGAATGAATAAATACAGTGTGATATACATAGTTACAATCCACAGTATTATAAATGAACTACAGCATGCAAAAAAACTTGGTTCCATCTCAAAAGCATAGTGACTAAAGGAATTTGGACATGAGTATATATGATATGATTCTATTCTTATAAAATTCAGGAAAAGGGAAAACTCATCTATGCTATCAGAAATTAGGATAGTGGTTACCTTTGGGAAGGGGAAAGGCTACCTCTGGGTTACTTTTGTGAAGAGGGTAGGGATTGGATGGACGAGGGTGTGCTGTTAATACTCTTTATCCTGCTCTGTATGGCAGTTACACAGCTGTGTTCATATAGTGATGATTCATAGAGCTTTATCCTCATAGCACATTTTTCTGTATATGTATTTGTGGTAAGCAGTCTCTGAGATGGCCTCCAATGATCCCATCCTCCTGCTATTTATGTCTTTGTATAATCCTCTCCCCTTGAACATGGGTTAGATTTGTTGACTCAATTCAAATGAATATAATACAGCAGAAGAGATGGGATATCACTTACAAGACTGGGTTATGAAAAGACTATGGTGGCTGAGCACAGTGGCTTACATCTGTAATCCCAGCACTTTGGGAAGCCAAGGTGTAAGTATTTCTTGAGCCTGGGAGTTTGAGACCAGCTGGGCAATATAGTGAGACCCCACCTCTACAGAAAATCCAAAAATTAGCCAGTCATGGTGGCACACACCTGTAGTCCTAGTTACTTGGGAGTCTGAAGTAAGAGGATCACTTGAGTCCAAGAGGTCAAGGCTGCAGTGAACCAGGATCACACACTACTGCACTCCAGCCTGGGTGATAGAGCAAGATGCTGTCTCTAAAACAAGAAAAGAATAAATAAATTAAAAGACTGCAGCTTCCATCCTTGGTGCCTGTCTCACTGACTCTTGGCTGATTCGCCCTGGGTTAAGCCAGTCATTGTGTCATGAGGCAGTCTTAAGGAGACGGCCACATGTTGAACTTAGCACCACCAGCAGCCATGTGAGCAAGATTGGCAGCGGATCTCTCCTCTATCCATAATCAAATCTTCAGATGAAACTGTAGCCCCTGCTAACAGCTTGACTACAATTCATGAGAGACCTTGAGCCAGAGGCACCCAGCTAAGCAACATCTAGGTTCTGGATTCACAGGAACTAAGAAATGGTAAATATTCATAGTTTTAAGTTAACCAAGTTTTGGAGTAATTTGTTATACAGCAGTAGTTTTACAATAATCTTTATGTTAATATATGTTTATAGTATTAATATATTACATAATCTTAATTACATATAGTATATTGAGCTTTATCAATAGTTATCTTTCAAAATGTGTAAATCCATATTCAATTGATGAAACCGTAAAGTATTTTTATAGTGGCTTTTGATGCAAAGCACGTACAAAGCCATATGCCAATAGTGGATTTTCAGCAAGCTTCAAATGTGAGTCATTATTCTATTTTTGTTTTTCAGCTCTGTTACTTTGAGTTTGTCTCTGATGATTGATCGTATTTTTTTTGGCCAAGTAAGTAAAAGTATATTAAGCTAACAGCTATTTTTATTTTTAATCCATTAACACTTTGGAACAGAGGCAAACAATTTTTTTAATGATATGGGAAACATTACAAAAGATTTCTAGGAATATCTGAATAAGCCTTTGGTTCAATTGGTTGTGTTTTCTACATAAAAGAATTAGTATTTCTAGTTGAGATTCAGGAAAGTAATTTTAAGGCAGGGAATTATTAAGTGAGCACTTAATGTTACCTGTTGTTGCTGTTTCTGTCATTATTGTCAGCTTTGTGCTGTAATTCAAATTGTAATGTTTTCAAACCTTTATCTTAATAGGTAATATCTGACATTGTAAGGTATTACACAGTCAGAAAAATTTGTATAGCATCTTCCTTACCTCTAATTGGGTATAAAACTTGCATGGGGCTAGAGGCCATTATTCTAAGTGAAGTAACTCAGGAATGGAAAACCAAATATTATATGTTCTTACAAGTGGGGGCCAAGCTATGAGGATGCAAAGATACAGAGTGATATAGTGGACCCTGGGGACCTGGGGTGGGGAAGGGTGAGAAATAAGAGACTACATATTGGGTACAGTGTACATTGCTTGGGTGATGGGTGCATGAAAATCCCAGAAATCACCTCTAAAGAACTTACTCATGTAACCAGTAGCCATCTGTACCCCAAAAACTATTGAAATAAAAAAACAAACTGAGATTGCCAAAATACATATGAAAGTTCATTAATAATTTTTGAGATTCACTTTGAGATTCACATTCAAGGTGAATCTCAAAAATCTAGTTTTACAAATTAACAAAAAACACATTAATTCTTAAAGAAGAAAAAATAACAGTTAAGGATTTCATACAGTCAATCAAAATTATTGATGTAAACTACTGTCTGGTTTTTAGACTTCAATTCTGATTTAATGTCAAGATTATATCAGTCCCCTTAATGCCAAAGATGACTGCTTGGCACTAACACATTTCTATTTCTTTTTCCTTCAACTATGCCAGTGGACTCTGGTTCAATTTAATTTTTTGAAATTTAACGTGCTGCAGAACTTGGGAACATTTTACGGTTCTCATCCATGGCACTGGTACTTCAGTCAAGGATTTCCAGTTATCTTGGGTACTCACCTACCCTTCTTTATTCATGGCTGCTTTCTAGCACCGAAGAGATACCGGATACTGTTGGTGACTGTGCTGTGGACACTGCTTGTTTATAGGTAAGATTTTATTTGTTCAAGAGGCTAAAATTCTTTATGTTACCAGGAAATCAAATGAACTAAATTCTTCAAAAAGTAAACTGTTTATTTTTTTGGAGGTACCATTAACTTTTGTTAGTGAGGATTATCTTAGAAGATACAAGTAGTAGTAATTATGGAGGTATTCAGAGTGAATAGATATGTAGTTTGCTTAACTACATATCTAAAGGATTATACTCAATTTTTGAGAACTTGGAATAATTTTATTTGCTTAAAAAAAAAAGGCCGGGCACGGTGGCTCAAGCCTGTAATCCCAGCACTTTGGGAGGCCGAGGCGGGTGGATCACAAGGTCAAGAGATCGAGACCATCTTGGTCAACATGGTGAAACCCCGTCTCTACTAAAAATACAAAAAAAATAGCTGGGCATGGTGGTACGTGCCTGTAATCCCAGCTACTTAGGAGGCTGAGGCAGGAGAATTGCCTGAACCCAGGAGGCGGAGGTTGCGGTGAGCCGAGATCGCGCCATTGCACTCCAGCCTGGGTAACAAGAGCGAAACTCCGTCTCAAAAAAAAAAAAAAACCAGACCTGGGACGGGCACAGTGGCTCAAGCCTGTAATCCCAGCACTTTGGGAGGCCGAGGCGGGTGGATCACGAGGTCAAGAGATCGAGACCATCCTGGTCAACATGGTGAAACCCCGTCTCTACTAAAAATACAAAAAATTAGCTGGGCATAGTGGCGCGTGCCTGTAATCCCAGCTTCTAAGGAGGCTGAGGCAGGAGAATTGCCTGAACCCAGGAGGCGGAGGTTGCGGTGAGCCGAGATCGCGCCATTGCACTCCAGCCTGGGTAACAAGAGCAAAACTCCGTCTCAAAAAAAAAAAAAAAAAACCAGACCAGGCACAGTTGCTCATGCCTGTAATCTCAATACTTTGGGAGGCCAAGATGGGAGGATTGCTTGAAGCCACGAGTTCATGACCAGCCTGAACAACATAGCAAGACCCTCTCTCTGAAAACAATTTAAAATTATGAAGGCATGTTGTCATGTGCCTGCAGTCCTAGCTTTTGAGAAACTGAGGCAGAAGGACTGCTTGAGCTCAGGACATTGCAGTGAGTGCAGTGAGCTATGATTGTGCTACTGCACTCCAGCCTGGGTGACAAAACAAGACCCTGTCTCAATCAGTCAATCAATCAGTCAGTCAATACCACCAAAATTTTAAATTGAAAGACCACAGAAATACATTCTAAAATAAAAATGTATGTATCCATATTCCAATTTTGACTAATTTTATGTACTTTGATTAGAAATAGAAATCCCATTTTTAGAATGTAACCATACTTTGTAATTTCAAATTGACATCATATTTTATCATTAGTTTTACCATATCATAATCACCTTATAACTAAAAAATGAGACTAATTCCTGAAGGAAGAAAGGAAGAAATTCAGCCTGAATACTTAGAAAATAAATAGATCCAGGCCGGGTGCGGTGGCTCATGCCTATAATCCCAGCACTTTGGGAGGCCGAGGCGGGCAGATCACAAGGTCAAGAGATCGAGACCATCATGGCCCATATGGTGAAACCCCATCTCTACTAAAAATGCAAAAATTAGCTGGGCATGGTGGCGTGCACCTGTAGTCCCAGCTACTCAGGAGGCTGAGGCAGGAGAATAGCTTGAACCCGGAAGGCGGAGGTTGCAGTGAGCCAAAATTTTCTTGCTCTGTCACCACTGTACTCCAGCCTGGTGACAGAGCAAGACTCTGTCTCAAAAAATAAATAAATAGATCATGTTAATTATATTTTACATTAAATATATTAATTTCTCTATCATATAATTCTTTCTTATAATATCTCTTTTTATTATAGCATGTTGAGCCACAAAGAATTCAGGTTTATTTATCCAGTTTTACCATTCTGTATGGTGTTCTGTGGTAAGTGCTTTTGTTTGATATAGAATATTATATAGAAATAGTTCAAAGACAACACATCCTCATTAAACTCTATTTATATTTTCAACTAGCTTAATAATTACTTCTTAATTACAAATTATTTTATTGCAATATTCCCTTTTTGTAGTCCAAATATGTTTTTTCCTGTATCCTCTAAAGTGAGATAAAAACATAAAGATCCTAGCCCATTGCAGTGGTGTGCACTTACAGTCCCAGCTACTCAGAAGCCTGAGACAGGAGGATCACCTGAGCCCAGGAGTTTGAGACCACTGTGGGTAATACAGCAAGTCCTTCTCTCAAAAAACAAACAAAAAACTCACATAAATATCCAAAACCCAAAGCAGTTTTTGGTGGTGGTGTTTCTCTTTGGTGGTGGTGTTTCTCACTAAAAAGTAAAATAACGTATCTGTTTTAGATTAGCTATTTTAAGTTTATGGTTAAAGTGTAAGGGTCTTCATTTTCACAAAGGAAAATGTATTTATTGCTGTTGAAACTAGTTTTTAATGCTTTTACACACAAAACATTTACCCTTTTAAAACTCTCTCTCAGGTATACACCATTTTTTAAGTAATTAACTCCTGATTTTATTTCAGGCCTTTTGTCCATTTTTCCACAGTCTTAACATGTACTTTTTTGTCACTTACAAAAATATGACTCAGTTCAGGAAAACTTGGATTTTTACATTGGTTGGTTTGGAAAAATTATGAATTGAAACTTTATTAACTTCAAGTTTAATTTGGAATAAATAACTGTTGGCTTCCTTCAATTACTAATACCTTTAAAAAAAAATCACTGCGTTGAGAGAGAAGAAATAACTAGCCAAGTGGAACTGGAGTCTGGAAAAAACCTAGGGAGTTACTGTTCTCAAACTTATTTTTACTTAGAAAGAAAAAAATTTTGAGTTAGGCATCGTTTGACCAAGTATACACCAACTCCTACAGATCTGAGATGTATATTCTCTTCAATTTAAGAAGAGAAACATACAAATATAAAATCAAATATAACAATCTGTATATTTGACACATCTGAAAGTTCTGAAACCAAAGCCTCAATCTGTCATTACTTTATAGTCTTAACCACATACAAATGCAGGCACATACAAAAATATAGACATCTAACAGTTATTTGGCAAGCCGTAAGAACAGCTGGCCCCATTTGCCAGAGGAAATCTGTTCATAAGTCACTGTTCAGAAGTTAAAGTGGTTTCTGTTTTGTTGTTGTTGTTGTTTACAGCCACTTGAGTGTATATTATAATTAAATCAAACATTGCCAGAGTACAGAGACAAATGTTTTTGTGTGCCTGGAGGGGACAGGGAGGTTTGTTAATTGAGTAACATGTTTCGATTTCTGTTTTCATAAACCAGATTTTTCTAGCATTATTCTTCTGTGTCCTGTTTCTTTACCAAGTATTTACATGTAGATTTGAGTTGTCAGAATCCTCATTCCAAGTCTAAAAGATTGCATCTTTAAGTAGCAAGATCCCTGTAACCAGGGCCTTTTCCCAGTTTATTGAGATAAAATGCTGATAAAGTATGAAGAGATCCCCTTCTAATAGGTGAGAATCACCCCTTCTCCCATCCCCTATCTACGTAGAAAGATCCCTAAAAGACAGCAGCCTAGAAAAGCCCTTCATTTCCTCACAGGATGGATTTTTTTCCTTCACACTCTACCTAAGGTTCTAGAGTAGGTCAAAAAAATCTGATTGCTAGGAGATTTGTACTTCTACTAAGAGTCAGAGCTCTTTAATGCCAAGAGGTTCCAACAGTAGGATCAATTCTGTCTACATGTCTCACCAAGACAGAAATCTTTGGACATGTAGAACAATTCTTTTTGGAGCTCTTCATGTTTTAGTGACCCAGTTTCAATCTTTCCTAACTATGTGAAATCTTGATTTATACCACAAATTTTAGCCTTATTCTACTTTTGTGTGACTTGGTTTAACCTCAAAACTGTAGTGGCTTAAAACTCCATTTATTATTATTTACAGGTCTACATTTCAACTGGACAGTTCTCATCTCTACTGAGCTCACTTACACAAATGTGATCAGCTGCAGATTGGGTAGATAGTTCTATTGATCTAGGTTGGGCTCTTACCTCTAGGGTTCAACTAGCTATGGGCCAAGTCTTCTCAGCTCTTCTTCCTTTCCTTTTCCTCCAACAGGCTAGCTAGGGCTTGTTCACTTGGTGTAGGCCAGGTTTCAGGAGAGGGAGCAAATATGCAAGGCCCTTTGAGATAAAGGCTTGGCATCTGCACGCTGTCACTTCCACCACATTCTTTTCATCAAAGCAAGTCACTGGGCCATGCCAGATTCAAGAGGTTGGGAAATAAGTGCCAGCCTCATAGTAGGAAGGGACAAAGAAAGAAAAATAATTGCATTTGTTTTTTCAATCTACAGTAACTTCTCTTGCCTAATTTGAATTTCCCTTAGTCCTATAAAATAGGACTCAACTCTAGAAAACGTATTTTGTGACTGGCTCAGCTCTTTAGTGAATTGTTTAACAATGTTTCTCAGTTTCCTTACCTATAAAAGAAATGTGATATTTTAGCAACACTAATTCAGTTCTTAGATTGACTCTCTCATTTGTACTAATAGAGTTCAGCACCCACTACTGATTCTGAGTTGTCTGCTTAGTCTGTTTGTTTTTACCACAGTGGCCACTATAGATTTCTCTCTTACTGGGCCACTTTGTTTTTCCATATTTTAATCTTGTTATTCTTTTTTTTTTTTTTTTTTTTTAGACAGAGTCTCTCTGTTGCTCAGGCTGGAGTGCAGTGGCACCATCTTGGCTCACTGCAACCTCTTATCTCCTGGGTTCAAGAGATTCTCCTGCCTCAACCTCCAGAGTAGCTGGAATTACAGGCCTGCGCCACCACAGCCAGCTAATTTTTGTATTTTCAGCAGAGACACGGTTTTACTATGTTGGCCAGGCTGGTGTCGAACCCCTAACCCCAAGTAATCCACCTGCCTCGGCCTCCCAAAGTGCTGGGATTACAGGCGTGAGCCACTGTGCCTGGCTCCATATTCTAATTGTTTTATCAAAATTGCATATGTACATTATTTCAGTAGTCATTCCAGAAGGAGTTTTTGAAAACAGTGGTTCCCCTGCTCTCCGTTCTATTTCTCTCCCCAAAAGCAACCACTTAAATATTATTTCAGCTGGTTATTTTGGTATTTATCTCAATATCTCTAAAATGCTTATAATACCACTTAATGTCTGAATAGTTTTAGGCATTAACTACTTCGGCATTAAAACTATTTAGGCATTAACTACTGAATTCTATGGAAGATGAAAATATGGCTTTAATTCCTTAACAAAATAGCAACATAAAATTCTTCCTGGCTAGGCATGGTGGCTCATGCCTGTAATCCCAGCACTTTGGGAGGCTGAGGTCAGGAGTTCAAGACCAGTCTGGCCAACATGGTGAAACCCCAACCCTACTAAAAATACAAAAATTAGCCAGGTGTGGTGGTGTGCACCTATAATCCCAGCTACTCAGGAGGCTGAGGCAGGAGAACCACCTGAACCCAGGAGATGGAGGTTGCAGTGAACTAAGATCACACCACTGCACTGCAGCCTGGGTGACAGAGCCAGACTCGGTATCCAAAAAAAAAAAAAAAAAAATTCTTCCTGATACCTTCATCTGTGCCCAGTACCCTCATTATGGTTAATAGTTCAAAGTCTCTCTTTTCCAGCCCCATTCTTCTATATCATGTCCCATTCCAGAACTGAACCACCTTTTGTGGTTGTCATCTAAACACTGAAACTAAGCTTTCTCAAAGAGTATCTAAAAATAAAAACAGTAACTCAAGATATATCTCTAATTGGTAGAATGAGGTAGGGATTTTTTTTCTTGGGGTTTCCTGATAATTCTTGCCAAAACCAGGATAGAATCAGTAATGTTCAGCCTCAGATATTCCCATCCCCTCTATTACTGTGAACCTTACCTTGGTAAGAAGGAGCTTATTAGTCATATCTGGAAAATACAGAGTGCCACACTACATATCCAAAAATTTAAAAGTGTATATATCAAGCTAAATAATATGTGATGATTAAGAGAAATGGCTTTGCCGGGCGCGGTGGCTCAAGCCTGTAATCCCAGCACTTTGGGAGGCCGAGGCGGGTGGATCACGAGGTCAGGAGATCGAGACCATACTGGTCAACATGGTGAAACCCCGTCTCTACTAAAAATACAAAAAATTAGCTGGGCATAGTGGCACATGCCTGTAATCCCAGCTACTCAGGAGGCTGAGGCAGGAGAATCGCTTGAACCCAGGAGGCGGAGGTTGCGGTGAGCCGAGATCGCGCCATTGCACTCCAGCCTGGGTAACAAGAGTGAAACTCCGTCTCCAAAAAAAAAAAAAAAAAAAAAAAGAGAAATGGCTTTATAAGGGAGCCACCTCATGAAGTGTTTTCTTGTATACTCAGGTTTTTAGATTTTAAATACTTTTTTAACAGTAATCTGATGAACGTGATCTGATAGGCGCCCAATGTATTTTTTTTAATTATAAAAATAAATGCTGATGGTACAAAAATAAATACATTAGTGTGTCATCATCAAGTCATCTAGCCCCATTCCCCAGAGGTAACTATTATCACTTTCTTAAGCAGTTCTTCCAGAAATTTTCTTTATACCCACTTTCAGGTATCTTTTTGTAGGCCCAAATAACAAGAGCAAATTAAGTATTTAGGGATGATGTTTAGCATCCAGTTAGCTATGAGTTCAGTTACTATGTGAAAGGACGGAATCTATACTTTAGTCACTGGGGTTCATGCAGTCTTAAATCTTCAGTGACTGGGGAAGTTTCAAATGTTAAGTAACACATCACTTACATGGTGGGATGATGACTTTCTGAAGCTAGGTCACTTAAGGGTGGATTATTTCAGTGAGAACTGCATCTCCAAATTTGTGCGTGCCATTAAATAGACTTACTGAATGTCACCTACTGGAATCTTGTTCATTGTATCTTTTAAATATTGATGAAACAATACTACTTGCCTGTAAGAAAACCATGGACCTTAGGCTTCTCTTGTGGTTCACTCAGTTCTAGCATTGGAACTGGAAAGTATCTTCCCAATCCTTCCTTTAGCAACTCATCTCTGAAATCCCTTTTGGAAGATTTCAGTGCCAGGTCGTCAAAACAAAAACCCCTTCAGAGACTTTAAATTCAAGACTCTTGACTTATACTCCAAAGTCGGGTTCTTTTCCAACATGTGCACAAATCATTTTGTAACTGAAATTATACTTCATCTCTATATGTCAAATGCTTGGTAATGCTCATAGGACACTAAACATTTATGTAAATAAAGGCAGTTCTGGGTGGGCGCTGTGGCTCACGTGTGTAATCCTAGCACTTTGGGAGGCTGCAGTGGGCAGATCACCTGAGTTTGAGACCAGCCTGGCCAACATGGTGCAACGCCATCTCTACTGAAAATACAATTAGCCACACATGGCAGCAGGCACCTGTAATCCCATCTACCCAGGAGGCTGAGGCAGGAGAATTGCTTGAACCGAAAGGTGGAGGTTGCAGTGAGCCAAGATCATGCCACTGCACTCCAGCCTGGGCAACTGAGTGAGACTCCATCTCAAAAATTAATGCCGCCGGGCGCGGTGGCTCAAGCCTGTAATCCCAGCACTTTGGGAGGCCGAGGCGGGTGGATCACGAGGTCAAGAGATCGAGACCATCCTGGTCAACATGGTGAAACCCCGTCTCTACTAAAAATACAAAAAAATTAGCTGGGCATGGTGGCACGTGCCTGTAATCCCAGCTACTCAGGAGGCTGAGGCAGGAGAATTGCCTGAACCCAGGAGGCGGAGGTTGCGGTGAGCCGAGATCGCGCCATTGCACTCCAGCCTGGGTAACAAGAGCGAAACTCCGTCTCAAAAAAATAATAATAATAATAATAATAATAATGCCAACTGTTACAATATCCACTGTCCCCCAGAAAACTATCACCTGACTCTCCTTGGCAGTGTTCAGCTATTCCTTCTCTTCCCAGCATTTTCTTCATATTACTTCTCTAAGTAATATGGAGATTCAGTTCTCACTAAAACGATCCATCAAAAAATGAGCTAAGCTCAGAGTTAAAATCACCATCATATAAGACAAACATTACCTAATTTAAGAGACGCCCTGTCTCACCAGTACTAAAGATGCTGGAAACACAAGCATATTATCTTCCAGCATTTTACACAGAGTGCTATTTTCACAGTCTTTATCACCAAGAATTCCCATTTTGTATCACCCACCTATACTATTGTATTCCTAGTGCCATAGTTTATTTTGAGTCTCACTGTGTCGCCAGGCTAGAGTGCAGTGGCTCAATCTCGGCTTCGCGCAACCTCCATCTCCCAGGTTCAACCAATTGTCCTGCCTCAGCCTCTGGAGTAGCTGGGACAACAGGTGCGCACCACCATGCCCAGCTAATTTTTGTATTTTTAGTAGAGACAGGGTTTCACCATGTCGGCCAGGATGGTCTTGATCTCTTGACCTTGTGATCTGCCCACCTCAGCCTCCCAAAGTGCTGGGATTACAGGTGTGAGCCACTGTACCTGGCCCAATGCCATAGTTTCTAATAAAATTTTCAATTAACATTTAATAAACAAATTATTAAGTAAATCACTTTACATATGCTCACCTTCTAAGTATCTTCAAATAATTGAGAACAAGCTGTATCTTCGAAGGCCTTGCTGTAGGACAGGCTTGCTGTAGTTTGGACGTTTTTGGGCAAATCCTTCACGAAGAGCTTGGTACCATCCTGGGGTACTGAGCTCCCCTGTGTGCTGGCTGTTAAAAAAGAGCCGGGCACCTTCCCCCACTTTCTTGCTTCTACTCTCTCACCATGTGATCTCTGCACACACTGGCTTCCCTTCACCTTCCGCCATGAGTGGAAGCAGCCTGAAGCCCTCACCAGTAGATGCTGGTATCATGCTTCTTCTACAGCCTGCAGGACCATGTGCCAAGTAAACATCTTTTCTTTTTTTTCTTTTTGAGATGGAGTTTTGCCCTTGTTGCCCAGGCTGGAGGGCAATGGTGCAATCTCAGCTCACAGCAACCTCTGCCTCTTGGGTTCGATTCTCCTGCCTCAGTCTTCCGAGTAGCTGAGATTACAGGTATGCACCACCATGCCCAGCTAATTTTCTAACTTTAGTAGAGACAGGGTTTCTCCATGTTGGTCAGGCTGGTCTTGAACTCCCGACCTCAGGTGATCCGCCCATCTTGGCCCCCTAAAGCGCTCGGATTACAGGCATGAGCCACTTTGCCCGGCCCAACATCGTTTCTTTATAAATTAACCAGCTTCGGGTATTCCATTATAGCAATACAAAGACAAGGCCTTAATGTAGCTTCTTGTAATCCTACTAAAGTGGATTTGTTTTAGCCTACCAACCCAAGTGCTTCAATTTATATTTGAGGATCTGCTGTATCTGTGCTTGGAGTTATTACAGATAGTTGAACTTTTAGAATCCTGTTTTATTCTTTTATTTATTTAGAGACAGTCTCGCTGTGTTGCCCAGGCTGGAGTGCAGTGGCGTGATCTTGGCTTACTGCAACCTCCGCTTCCCGTGTTCAAGTGATTCTCCTGCCTCAGCCTCCTGGGATTACAGCTGTGTGCCACCACACCCAGCTAATTTTTGTATTTTTAGTAGAGATGGGGTTTCACCATGTTTGCCAGGCTAGTCTTGAGCTCCTGACCTCAAGTGATCCACCCGCTTCAGCCTCCCAGACTGCTGTGATTACAGGTGTAAGCTACTGCACCTGGCCCTATTTCATTTTTATCTTCAGAGACAGGGTTTTACTCTGTCACCCAGGCTGGAGTGCACTGGCACAGTCATAGCTCACTGTCCCCTCAAACTCATGGGCACAGGTAAACCTCCTGCCTCAGCCTTCCCAGTAGCTAGAACTACAGTTACGCACTACCATGCCTGGCTAATTTTGCTCTATTTTTGGTAGAGATGGAGTGTCACTATATTGCCCAGGTTGGTCTTGGACTCCTGGCCTCAAGCAATCCTCCCATCTCAGCTATTTTATTTCAAATAAAGCCAATTCTAATTCTCAACCCTTTTAGTAGGTTCCTCATTTTACCATTTCAAACATCTTATAAATGTAGATTTAAGTGATAGGCTTAGTTTTCTTGATCTTGCTACATTCTTCATTACACTACTTTTCAGATTATTCTTTGATCAATCAAAACTATTTGAAGTAGCTTAAAAAGTACTGGGTGAAATGGATATGTGACATTCCTGCTCATGAATCGTATGAACTGTGGTTATTAACATCACAGAGGAGGAACTAAAGTTAAAACACTGCCTTGACCCCACTGGGTATTAGTACTAACATTTTGGGCAAACCAAGGTTTGGATGAAGAATGCCCAAGTAAAGAACTATTATCTAGTTCTATATAAAGAGTGTATGTAAATTATGAACAAAATGTCACACTTACTAATAAGCTCATTCATTTCCAGTGGCAAAGCCTGTTCTTGGTATTCTCAGAGATCCTAATGTGTCCATTAACAGTGGCTGTTGTTGGAGAAAAGAAGGGGAGAGAGACTTTTACTTATCCTTTTATACCCTTCTATTCATTCTACTTGGTTTTCTTCTTTGGTTTTTTGTTTTGTTTTGCCTCACAGAATAATCACTTTCATAAATCAAAAAAGGAAAAGTGTTTAGCATCTCCAAATTCTGACATTCTAGTGGGAAAAAAAAAAAAAGACATAGCACCTTTTCTTCCACTCATATACTTAAAGAAAACCTCCCAGGTGCCCAATGGCTTATTTTCCTAAGCCTTCCTAAGAGGACACATTACTGAAACTTGTATTACACACAAAAATACCAATTACTAGTTTTAGGAAGATTAAAGAGGTAGGTAAATGGAATAATCAAAGGTCCTATTTATTTAGCAACTACTATGTACCAGGACAGGCACTGGACATTTTTTCTAATACTTGAAAAAGGTACTATTGTCCCAATGATGAGCAAAGTAAAACAACTTGTGCTAGAACTAGAATTCAGATCTGGACCTGTTGGACTCCATAACTATCATCTTTCAACTATATCTCAATACTTTTTACCAGAAAAAGTCAAGACCTAGATGACAACAGTAGTGTATGGTCAGAGAGATTATTAATTATTGCTTGTTCCTTGTCTATTACAATATTACAGTTTGTGCTATTTCCATTAAAAATTACAGATGTATTTGCAGTTAACATAAGAAAACAAAAGGCTGTCGGTGTTAAGGTTCAATATGTCTGTCTTCATATAGGATACTCACTAACCCACCTGAAAACATGGAAGAAACCAGCTCTAAGTTTCCTGTTTTTATCAAATTTGTTCCTCGCCCTTTATACTGGTTTAGTTCATCAACGAGGTACTCTTGATGTCATGAGTCATATTCAAAAAGTTTGTTACAACAATCCCAGTAAACCTTCAGCTTCAGTATTTGTAATGATGCCTTGCCACTCTACTCCTTATTACAGGTAATAAAAGATATTCCACTATATGCTGTTAAGAAACTGAAACTGACTACTTTAAAATTCCCTTTCAGATTCCTGGATTTGAATTAATTGGTCATTGATCAAATGATAAATTATTTATTCACTGGTGGATTTTTAAAACCACTTGAATTGTATCAATGAAAACCTTTTAAATAAACTTTATTATTCTTAAAAAACAATTTACTTACACTTAATTCTGATTTAAAACAATCTGTAGGTATTTGATAGTCTTCCTAGTAAAGAAACTCATGTATGACTTACCTTACTACACATCTCTGAAACATCTTTATACAATTTGAATTAATCTTAAAACATGGATTTCAGTCCAGATTTACTACTGGACTATTGCCCTCCTTTTAAACTAGATTTTTAATCTCTTTGGACATCAGTTTTCTCACCTGTAAAATTTAAGGAATGCGACAAGATTATATTCTAAAGCTTAAATTAAGTGTTTCTGGGAAATATACTAAAATTGCCTCAACTATGTATGGCATTTAAAAAGACATCCATTTGGTCCTATGCTTGTATTTCATAAAGCTGTGTTACCAATTACCCAGTAATGGTACAGGGGCAAAGCAGCCAGATTTCCTATAGAAAATTCTATACCAGGCCGAACGCAGTGGCTCATGGCAGTAATCCTAGCACTTTGGGAGGCTGAGGCAGGCGGATCACCTAAGCTCAGGAATTTGAGACTAGCCTGGGCAACATAGTGAAACCCCATCTCTACTAAAATACAAAAAAATTAGCTGGGTGTTGTGGTGTGTTCCTATAGTCCCAGCTACTAGGGAGGTTGAGGCAGGAGAATCACTTGAATAGAGGAGGTGGAGGTTGCAGTAAGCTGAGATTGTACCCTGCACTCTGGCCTGGGTGACAGAGCAAGACTCTGCCTCAAAAAAAAAAAAAGAAAAAGAAAAAGAAAAAAAAGAAAATCCTCTGTCTATTTAACTCAGTCTGGCTTTAAACGATCTTTAATGTCTCATATGCACATTCAATTAATTTAATCACTGTGGTTATCATTTTAGGGGAATTTAACACCTGGAATACTCCTACTTAACTGATCATGAATGCCAATCATTAATACACAATTTATAAAAATTGAGATCCTAGCAAAAACCAGTCTAAGTGGAAGGCATCAAGTATCCTTTCAACTTGAGGATTCCCTACTATATGTATTTGTATGTCTGAGAAAGGGACATTCACTCTCCGTGCTCACATTAGGGGTAATACTGTGGAGGGCAGGAATCCTAGAGGTACCAAGATATTCTTTACACATAGTTGTAGTTAGTGGATGTCTTAGGCTTTGTATAGTTAACCAAGTTCTCAACACCTTTTCAAAGCACACAAATAGAGGAAAATCTCTGATGTCTATTTTACAATATAAAGCAGTTTTTTCCTCAGGAATTTCTACTTCCCCTTGAAACAAGACCTTCATTTCCAGTAAGTAAGTCCCTATTAGGTCTTCTGTGCATTTAATTTGTATGCACTTCACAAATAAACCTCCTGCATAACTATTAACTTGATTTCTAATTGGAAATTTTAAATGTTTCTATCAGTGAGATTTAACTTTTCCCAAGGCATTATAAACATGACTTTCTGCATGACCTAAGTAACTGGCTTAAGTTGTCATGACTAGTATTAGAAATGAATCCATCTTTTTTATACTCTAATCTTTTTTTTTTTTTTTGAAACATGTTCTTGCTCTGTAGCCCAGGCTGGAATGCAGTGGTATGTGATCTCAGTGCTCACTACAACCTCTGTCTTCTGAGTTCAAGAAATTCTCCTGCCTCAGCCTCCAGAGTAGCTGGGACTACAGGCACACATCACCATGCCTGGCTAATTTTTCTATTTTTAGTAGAGACAGGGTTTCACCATGTTGGCCAGGCTGGTCTCGAAGTCCTGACCTCTGGGGATCCATCTACCTTGGCCTCTCAAAGTTCTGGGATTACAGGCACGAGCCACTGCCCCTAGTGGGCAGTCTATCTTTCTATGCCACAATAAAACCATTACTTATTTGGATGTTAATCAATGGACATGTGTTGCTCTCTACTTCTAAATCTTAAAGATATAAGGAAAAAACATACTTAAAACTTGCCATGTAAAGATGTGATCCATCCTCTATTAGAGCAGAAAGGGAAGAAAGAATCTTTTCTGGTTAGGACCACAGTTTCCTACTTTACAAAAAAAGCCTATGGAGAATTACTCTCTTATTAACAAGTTAACTTACCTGGTCCTGAAGACCATTTATGTTTCTGGAACAGAATACGAATGTTACAGAATGTTGCATCCCCCAACTGACCTACTTCCCTCCTTGAAATGGAGTTTTATGCATTAGTTTGGGCTTATAGGTTATGCTGCTGCTGCTGCACAGTTTACATGGTATGAGAATCACATATTTATATTTTATCTTTGAGAAAATGAGTTAAAGGCTTGCTTCTTCACTTAACTGCAACACAGTTATAGATTCCGATTTCACATTTTGCTATGTATAAATGAGGTATCTTAAGCCTAATGAAAACTTTCAGTTTTTACTTGTGTTTGTTCTGGTAACTTTTCTTTTCATAGTCATGTTCACTGCCCACTTCCAATGAGATTTCTCCAATGCCCCCCAGACCTGACTGGAAAAAGTCAGTATCTTGATGAAGCTGATATATTTTACCTAAATCCCTTAAACTGGTTACAAAGAGAGTTTCATGACGATGCATCATTACCTACTCACTTGATCATCTTCAGCATTTTGGAGGAGGTAAGTAAACATGAAAAAGAAAACTCAGTATTTTTATTTTACCCCAGGTTTAGGAAACCCTCAGGTAAATAGACAATATAACCTTTTTTATGGTCTGTTTCATCCCACATTTCATGATGAGTCTTTTCTCCAGTCAAAATAAGCCCCAGTTCTATAATTATAAGGTATTTTACTTCCTGTAAGTTAATTCTTTTATTAAGCATAAAGTTGTAGAGAGCAATTAGAATAAGCAATTCTAAAATTCACTGAAACAGTATTCAGCAAAACATAGCCTTTATTTACTTAAACATTTATTTGCTTCTAGGAAATAAGTGCTTTCCTAACATCAAGCAGTTATAACAGAACTGCTGTTTTCTTCCACACTCACTTGCCGGAGGGTCGAATTGGAAGTCATGTATATGTCTATGAACGGAAGTTAAAAGGGAAATTCAACAAGATGAAATTCTGAACTTTCTGAGATAAACTAACATTGCTGGGTGGAAATACTCAGATGCTGCTTAAATATTTCAGTAAACACTGGGTAAGATTCATGGAACTTATGAAAAACTATATGAACTGCTTTACCAAATATCACTACTGAGGAAATGTATAAAATACCATGTAGTAGAAAATCACGTTAATACAATGCCAGATTTTAAATAAAGACCTTCAGTTTTCCTCATGGTGTAGTTTTATTGTTTCTTCCACAATATTCAGATGTTCAAAAAATTTCACAAAACAAGTCAGCAAGCTCTTAAGAGGGCAGCAAATTCTTCATAAGTCATTGGGCTCTTGAACCCACGTAAAGACAAGAAGCAAGTGTAAGATTATAAAATGTTCAAGATGAAATTCCAGCACAATGTACTTTTCTCAAGCTCTACTGCAAATTTAACACCACAGACATCAGTGTTAATTACACTTTGTCATGTATGATTTGAGCTTGCTTTAAGCTCTTACACTGAAAGGAAGTCTCATTTCATGCACAAAATCTGTTGCATGCCTGGCTTCCTTAGTAAAACTACTGTTAAACATTTCCAGTGTCAAAAAAGAATCCAACAAAGCTAAACTATAGGAAAATGCAGGTTAGTAGGCTTTTAACTAATGCTTCTAAGTAATAATATAAAGTTATCAAACTGAGACTTAAAAAACAAAAAAAGACATTGTCATCTTGATAATTTCGTTAGTTCCAATACCAAACATTGTACAAAGCATACGTGTTTCTCTTACAGTTGTCTAGCTTAACTCAATCGTGAATCAGTATTTAGGATCAAAAGGTAATTCTACTTCAAGATTTGCCATTTGTCTTCCATTAGTGCGACCATATTTATGCCATTTACCTTCCCTTTTATAAGGCTGTGGCTGAAGGTGCTTCTGCTCTTGTTTTCGATGCCTGGAGTTTTCAATATTTACCATACGTTGCTTTTTATCAGGTCGACTGAAAGCAGTAAACACATTTTTCATCTATGTTAGAGTTCAATGTATTTAAATTTAAAACAATTTTAACTGTTTTTCTCCATTTATCTATTACCTGAACACTCTGAAAAAAGATATTAAATATCTGAATTATAATCCTAGTATATCCATATAAAAAATAAAGGAGTCCATATTATAGTTTTTGTCCTATACAAAGAAAAAAATAGTAACTCTACTGGCAAAAAAGGGAAACACTCAACAGATAACAAAGAAAAGAAATGTGACAATAAAATAATGAGATGTTTCCTTTTTTTTTTTTTTTTTCTTTCCTGGAGAAATCAATCCCTCCCCATTGGCTTTATCACTCAGCAGAAATACAAACACATCTCACAAACAAAGCAAAACAAAAGTCTCAACTTTCTCCCTCTTACAGCAAAAGTTCACAAGACCTACACCTACTTTCCTCAATGTCTATGATCAGGCTTCTGTCACTACTTCACTGGAAGTCCATACTGCCATCCCCTGGCTGCCCAATTTCCAAGCCAAGAAACATTTTTCACACATCGACTTTTTAAAAAGCATGACACATTTAAATATTCCTTTTACTTGAGACAGTCTTTAGATTTTCATGAGGCTACTCCCCACTTAGCCTTCCCTACAACCTCATAGATGTTGGTGTTCTCCCAGGAGTCTAATAAATATACAGTCTTGGCAAAAGAGATGACCATAGCACTACCTACCAACTAACCCTCCTCACTTGAATGTCAGTAGTTACTTGCAAACACAATTCTCATCTCCAATTGCCCTTAGCCCAAACCTTGAATTCCCTATCACTGTGATACTACTATCCAACAGATGACCCAACTCAGAAATCTGGAAGTCACTGTTACTTTGTACTTGTCTTTCACAAGAAATACCAGTTACTATCTATTCTCCAAATGTTTTCTCCTTTCCTCCCCTACTACCATTGTCCCAGTTTAGATGCTCATCTAAACAGCTCATGTCTGTAGTATATTGACCACCTTCTAGCTTCACACCTTTCTTGTCAATTCTGTAAGCTGTTGTCAATACAGTAGTCCTGCCTTATCCACGGCTTCACTTTCTGGGATTCAGGTTTCAGTTACCTGTGGTCACCTGTGGTTTGAAAATGTTAAATAGAAAATTTCATAAATAATTCTTAAGTTTTAGGCAACGGGCAGTGTCTCACCCCTGTAACCCCAGTACTTTGGGAGGCTGAGATGGGCAGATCACTTAGGTTAGGAGTTAGAGACCAGCCTGGCCAACATGGTGAAACCCCATCGCTACTAAAATATAAAAATTAGCCAGATGTGGTGGCTCGCACCTGTAGTCCTAGCTGCTCAGGAGGCCAAGGCAGGAGAATCACTTGAACTTGGGAGAGAGAGGTTGCAGTGAGCTGAGATGATGCCACTGCACTCCAGCCTGGGTGACAAAGCAAGACTCCGTCTCAAAAAATAAAAATAAAAATAAAGAAATAATGCGTAAGTATTAAGATTTATGCCTGTTCTGAGTAATGTGATGAAATAAGGCAGTTCTGCTCCATCACACATGGGATATGAATAATCCCATTGTCCAGTATCCATGCTACCCACCCCTTAATCACCTAGTAGCAGTCTGTTGATCAGATACACTGTTATCATTCCACAGTGCTTGTGTTCAAGTATCCCTAAGATAAGGATAATTATGATTAAGAAACTTAATAATGACCGCAAAATACAATAGTGATGCTGGCAATTTAGATATGCCAAAGAGAAGCTATAAGGCACTTCCTTTAAGTGAAAGGGTGAACATTCTCAATAAGAGAGACAAAAGTATGCTGAGGCTGGTAAGATCCATGGTAAGAACAAACCCATGTATGAGATCGTAAAGAAGGAAAAAGAAATTCATGCATATTATATATAGAATTCTGTTCTATCCCTGGTTTCAAGCACCCACTGGGGGTCTTGGAACATATATCCTGAAGATAAAGGAGGACTACTGTAATCTACAATACAATATAATCATATCCTACCAGCCTTGAAAATTCTTCAGAGGTTCTCCATGTCCTACAGGACAAAACCTTTAGCATAAAATGGGGCCCTTCATGGTCTGCATCTCTTATCCTCCAGCACTACCCTGCTTCCTTAAAGTAGTGTTCTTCATATATCCAAATGACCTTCCTTTTAAGTAAAATCCCCTTCCCTGTCTGCATAGTAAATTATCATTTCTCTTGCAAAAGCTAGTTTAAAAACTAGTCCACAGCTCAAAGGCCATCTCACTCAAGAAGCCTTTCCAAACATCTACAGACAGCCTGAGGCCACCATGCCCCCATACCTTAATTTTATTTATATACTTAGCTTGTGAGCTCCTTTAAAGCAAAAATTTTTCACTTGTCTCCTGAAGGCAGCCTCACCTTTCTTCATTATACGACTAGATACCTGCTTAATGTCTAAAGACACCAGAATCAGTCTCATTATTTTATAGACACATTGTATTTATTCAGAAAGGTAAGTATTTCAAAGATAAAAAGTGAAACTAACATTTGAAGATCAGGCAAGTTTCATGTTACAGAATATAAAGATGAAAATGGATAAAAAATTGGTACACATATTAGAATCTGACTTGCTCACTTTCCCTCTTTGTGCTTCTACCTTTATCAAGGATAATTATATGATTAAGTATTAAGTATCATAACTAAGCTGGTACATGGAATGGACAAGTGAATATAGGTAGGACATTAGAAACATCACATATGAGCTCCTCTGACCAGAGTAAAATTTGTGTTGTTCACTCCTAGCTTCCCAAAGTATAAATACATAAAAGATTAAAGGAAAATAATTTCACTTAAGGCGATCTTTTCATATAAACTATACTGAAAAGAAACAAATTTGGCCAAAATAGGATTCTATATATTCTTAACTGATTTTTAAGATAAAAATTAAATCATTTGCTCAGGTCAAAGTGATTACGTTATAATGAAATTTTCCATTTGTAACAGCTATAATTTTTAGACTCTATTTTTCAATTTACTCTGAATTCTCTCAGTGGCAATAAAGCATGACTCTTAGAAACAGTAACCCTCCAAGAAACTCATCAAATCATAAAAATGCTATCCAATCTACAAATGTTACAAACTACTGTAATGACATGGTTTTATGTAAACCGACCTGGGTCCATATGGAGGGGAAAGAGTGTGACCAAAGAAGTGTCTATATATATATTCATCCAACTTCTCAAATACTCCATCATTATCTACTTGATATTCCTTCATGTTTCTAAGATAATCTTTAACATCATTAACAAAGTCAGTGAAGAGCTTCTGATCATGTATAAAGACACCATTTAGGAAAAACTTATTGATGAACTGATCAAATTCTTGCCAGTGATAAAAAGTATCCAGTTCTTTTAACATGTACCTTTGAATTATCTGTCTAAATTCATCTATCCTTATAGGATTCACCACTGTGTTAAAAAGGCTCATGGATTCCTGTCGCGCACAATCAAATACACCAGAACAAGTCTTTCTGAAAGAATGAGAATTTTCTCTACAATCATGCCCACGACTGCATTTCTGTGAATTTGTATTTTTTCTGAATTCTTCGAAGTGAACTGGCTTTTCTTTGCTTCCATCATTTTGCATAGTACGGCCTCTATTCCGGTTTTCTGTAGGTGCCTTATACTGTGGATGTAAATAGTCACTAAAAACTGTTCTCGGTTTTTCGGATGCTTCTGTAGCACCACATCTTTTATTACCCTTTTCATCGAAGATGATCTTGGTGGTATCTTTAAAATGTCTGAAAGTAGATTTAACTGAATCTGAGAATTTTTTCAGATTTTCCTTCACAGCTTCTTTAGCCTGCTTAATTTTCTCTTTATGATGCCTCACAAACTCCTTGGTAGAATTCTTCATGGCATCAAATGTGTCCTTAACTGAACCCAAAAATGTTTCCTTTGACTTATTTTTAGCCCTGTGGTTTCCTCTGCTCCCTTTCTTTTTTCCGTCAGTTTCTTGTTTTCCATTTTGATCTTTTGCCTCAACATACAATCTTTCCCACAAATCAGAACGCTGCTGTTCGAAGGTTAGCTTCCATTCCAGCTCAGTGAGTCTTTGCCGTAAGACTGCCATTTCCTTTTTTTCAGTAAATACATTGGGAGAATCTGACTTGCCATGTAACTGAATATCACTTAGCTGATGGAGTTCCCCTCTTAAAGCTGTAGTTAATAGTCGTTCTCTCTCCAGTTCTCTCTTTAGCATCTTTGCTTCTGCCAACAGAGTCTTTCTTTGACTAAGAAAGCTGTATTTTTTCTGCTTTTCTTCTTCCAAATGCTGCTTAAGTTTCTGATTTTCTTTAACTAATTCAGTACTTGTCCCTTTATCTTCCAGTATTCTAATCTGTTCTCTTAGTTTGTTTAACTCTTCCTGTAATGAAGACAAGGCCTTTTCTTCCTTCTCCAGAGATATTCTTAAATACTGATTTTCTGTAGCAAGGTTAGTTTTCTGAGTTTCAAAGGACACCTTCTCTGCTTCCGTAAGGGTCCAACACCTTGCAAGGTTTTCTTTCAATGACTACATTTTTTTGAAAGAGAAGAAATAACATGTCAAGTGCTTTAAAAGCTGAATTTAAATCTTTAAGATATATAACACCCCATAAGCTTTTGTGTCTTTACTTCTAGAGATACTATACCCCGGGTAGAATTTGCAATAGTATAAACACTGGGAAATACAAGGTTCACATGCAAGAAAACTCAGAGCAGAGAGCTACATCAAATTGAGAAGAACAGCATGGTAGAAGAATTTATTTTTTATTTTATTTTTTGAGATGGAGTCTCACTCTGTCGCCAGACTGCAGTGGCACCATCTCGGCTCACCACCACCTCTCCCTCCCAAGTTCAAACAATTCTCCTGCCTCAGCCCCGCCAATAGTGGGGATTAGAGGCACCTGCCACCGTGCCCAGCTGGAAGAATTTAGAAAGTTGGCTAGGGCTAATAGGACTAAAGCCTTTTCTGAATCTTAGGACGACAGATTATCTTTATAAAAAGTAAAATTACATCAAGAGCTGACTTATGGCTTCAAAAAAATTGTACTCACTGTACCCTTCGAAATAAGAAATTCTAATAATCTTAGTCCCATTTGAAACATTTTAGTCCTATGCAATTAACATTGCTAGGTAAGTACAGATAACCTATAAATTCTATGAGCATTTTAGAGGACAGACTGAATCTTAGTAACATTTATAACTAACTTATCCAATTATATGCAAACTTACAAAGTGCCGTCACTCAGATTACAGCAGTTCTGTAATCTGTATAGATTAATATAACACTGAAGATTAATCTATAGATTGCTATAACTCTGAAAGGCAATACCCATGATAGAAATGGTTCTCAATTAGGCTTATAGAATTTTACTGCTTCAGTAAGGGTATCCTTGATTGATTTGAATTTTCTTTCAAACATATGTGTAAGTAACAAATTTTAACCAAAAATAGTCAAAAATTAAACAATATGCTTCAACAAGTTCTTACAGCATTGTCTATTCAGTTAAAAATATCTTATGTATAAATCTGCAAAATGATACTTAAATTTGGTGTAACTGACCACACACGTTATGGTTACCCCATTTGAGTAAGACCAGCCAATTACCTGGATTCAGAAACAAGCCAAAAAAAAAAAGCGGGGGGGGGGGGGGGGGGGGGGGGGGGAGGACGGACAAGTCCTTTAAGAGAATGACACTATTTTACACTTGAATAATAACTCTCTAAAATGATTGCTTCACTTTCTAGCTCATTAATCTTCAGAGAACAAATAAAGATGTAAAATTTAATCACAGTCATTACATCTGCTCTGCCTATACGAGAGAAGTTTCTTCTACCCAACAGCAGTGGACTGTGGAGTAGGAGACTGATGCACTGGTGTACCATAATCTTGAAATGCACAAGCAAAGGCAGCCACAGAATGAAAGAACACAGCATTCCTCATGCAGTAAATATGATGTTGACAGAAGTGACTGATAAGCAGATCCTGACCAGGTCTTCCAAAGAGCTTCAACATCTATCCGATCCATATTTAACAGCTAGAAACAACACATCTGCAAAAACTGACTCTAACCAGGCACAGTGGCTTAAGCCTTTAATCCCAGCACTTTTAGGCCAAGGCAGGAGGATCGCTTGAACCCAGAAGTTCCAGAAAAACCTGGGCAACATAGTGAGAACCCATCTCTATGAAAAATTTAAAAACAAAGTTAGCTAGACATGGTAGCATGTGCCTGTGGTCCCAGCTACTTGAAAGGCTAAGCCAGAGGGATTGATTGAGGCCAGGAAGTTAAGGCAGCAATGAACCATTATTACACCACTGCACTCCAGCATGGACAACAAGAATGGGACCTTCTTAAAACAAAACAAAAGAAAAAAAAAAAAAGAAAACAGGCCAGGCACAGTGGCTCACGCCTGTAATTCCAGCACTTTGGAAGGCCGAGACAAGTGGATCACCTGAGGTCAGGAGTTCGAGACCAGGCTGACCAACACAGTGAAACTCCATCTCTACAAAAAATACAAAAAAAATAGCCAAGAATGGTGGAGGAAGCCTGTAATCCAAGCTAGTTGGGAGGCTGAGGCAGGAGAATCGCTTGAACCCAAGAGGCAGAGGTTGCAGTGAGCTGAGATCACCCCCCATGCACTCTAGCCTGGGCAACAAAGCGAGACTGCATCTCAAAAAAAAAAAAAAAAAAAAAAAAAAAAAAACCCAAACCCAAACCTGAAATACAAACTCTTTGTAAAGATTTATGTATAGTGAATCTTCCAAAAGACAGTGTTATCCTATGGAGCCAGAAACCATTGTAGTGAAGAAGAAAATGGCATATTCTAATAGGTAGGAAAAACTGCCCTATTTGTAATTAACTTTGGAAGTACTTCCCTGTGTCTACAGCCATACCACCCTGAATGCGCCCAATATCCTCTGATCACAGAAGCTAAGCAGGGTCAGGTCTGGTTAATACCTGGAGGGGAGAAATACCTCCCTAAAAGATACAACTTAGTTATAAAGTATTATTTTTGTCTTTTCAAGAAATATAACCTGTAAGGGAAGCCTACATAAATTAAGTGTGAGATTTGGGGGTGGAAAAAACAATAGCTTACTTTTCTTTCCTTTTTTTTTTTTGAGATAGAGTCGGTGGGTGGTGGGTGACCAAAAAAAAAAAAAAAAGAAAAGAAAAGAAAGAAAAAAAAAGAGTGTCTTTCTCTGTGGCCCAGGCTGAAATACAACAGTGTGATAATCAATTCACTGCAACCTCTACCTCTGAGGTTCAAGGAATCTTGTGCCTAAGCCTCCTGAGAAGCTGGGATTACAGGTGTACACCACCACAGTTGGCTAATTTTTGTATTTTTAGTAGAGACAAGGTTTCACTGTGTTGGCCAGGCTGGTGTTGAACTCCTGGCCTCAAGCAATCCACCTACATTGGTGTCCCAAAGTTGCCACCTTTGGGAATTTGGGAGGCCACCACCTCACCCAGACACAGCTTACTTTTCTACCCTGAGTTTATCTCTACACCATTCCTAGGAAAAAACTAGATAGGGGACCAACTATTTAGCTGATCCTCATAAACCCACAAAGGTGTTAGGTAACAACAGAATGGACAGTACTGTCCTGTGAGATGAGATCTAGGTTTGTTATAGACAGAAAAACATGTTCTCCCTTCCATCAGAAAAAAAAAAAAAAAAAAAAAAACAATGAAAGGGAATGGCTATGTCCCTAATCAAAAGAAGATCTTAGAGAAACTATAAAACCACAACTCTCGGGGCTGGGTGTGGTGGCTCACACCTGTAATCCCAGCACTTTGAAAGGCCAAGGCAGGTGGATGATGAGGTTAGGACAATTGAGACCATCCTGGCCAACACTGCAAAACCTCATTTCTACTAAAATACAAAAAATTAGCCAGCATAGTGGCAAACATCTGCAGTCTCAGCTACTCAGGAGGCTGCACTCCAGCCTGTTGACAAGAGTAAGATTCACTCTCAAAAAAAAAACAAAAACAAACAAAAAAAAAAACCCACAACTCCCTGGGCGCGGTAGCTCACCCCTGTAATCCCAGCACTTTGGGGGACTGAGGCGGGTAGATCACCTGAGGTCAGGAGTTCGAGACTAGCCTGGCCAACATGGTGAAACCCCGTCTCTACTAAAAATACAAAAATTAGCCTTGTGTGGTGCCGTGTGTCTGTAGTCCCAGGTACTCAGGAGGCTGAGGCAGGAGAATCGCTTGAACCCAGGAGGCAGAGGTTGCAGTGTGCCGAGATTGTGCCATTGCACTCAGCCTGGGCGACACAGCGAGACTCTGTCTCAAAAAAAACAAAACAAAAACCCACAACTCTCCTTTTTTCCGCTTGCCAACTGAAAATGCCTGCTTCCCTCTGTAAAAGTAATGTTAACAAAAATGTCTATATACACATATAAAATGTCAATTTTAAATGATGTTAACTATAAAACAGCAACTAGGAATAAAATTTCTTTTTTTTTTTCTTTTTGAGATGGAGTTTCGCTCTTGTTACCCAGGCTGGAGTGCAATGGCGTGATCTCGGCTCACCGCAACCTCCGCCTCCTGGGTTCAGGCAATTCTCCTGCCTCAGCCTCCTGAGTAGCTGGGATTATAGGCACGCACCACCATGCCCAGCTAATTTTTTGTATTTTTAGTAGAGACGGGATTTCACCATGTTGACCAGGTTGGTCTCGATCTCTCGACCTCGTGATCCACCCACCTCGGCCTCCCAAAGTGCTGGGATTACAGGCTTGAGCCACCGCGCCCGGCCGGAATAAAATTTCTTAAGTCAAATCCTTGGAATCAAATTAGCTCTGCAAACAAAACGAAACAAAACAAAAGGCCAGGGCCAGGTGTGGTGGCTCACACTTGTAATCCCAGCACTTTAGGAGGCTGAGGTGTATTTTCAATAGTATAAACATTGGGAAATACAAGGTTCATATGCAAGAAAACACAGAGCAGAGAGCTACAACAAACTGAGAACAACAGCACAGTAGAAGAATTTTTTTTTTTTGAGATGGAATCTTGCTCTGTTGACCAGGGTAGAGTGCAGAGGCGTGATCTTGGCTCGCTGTAACCTCCATGTCCTGGGTTCGGGAGTTCAAAGTCAGGAGTCAGAGATCAGACTGGCCAACATGGTGAAACCATGTCTCTACTAAAAATACACAGTAGCCACAAAGCACAATACATGATGACAACATAAACATATGGATCACAAAATACCAAAAACTAGCTTCGGAGGTGAAGGAGCAGAGACCTCACTTGGAACCCAAGGAAGAAGTGAACCGCCTAGACAGTAAGTCCACGAAGGTTGGGCGCCACTGCACCTCACCAACAGCACATGGGCAAACAAGGAAGAAAGAACGCCGCAAATCTCCAAATAAAACAAAACACAACCATAAAAAACATCAAAATTAAAGTTTACTAGGCCCAGTTGACTAAATATACCACATAAGATAAACCTGAACCATTTGGGAATAAGCCCGTCAATAATCCTTTCTATAAACACTCTTTCCCTACACTATAAAAGTCCATAAAATTGAACACTCTGCGTACCATCTCCTATGAATTGTAAAAGGAGTTAGATAAGACGAAAAATCGACTCTGTGACTCAGGACCATACCAAGCGTCACACCCAAAACTTTTTAACACAGCGGAGCCAGCTTCACTGATCCTCCGAAACCAACTGGAGGGGCGCCATACTGTGCTACCACTCCTCAACGTATTTCACCACCCCAGTGAAAGAGACGCCCCTTCCTGACGTGCGGGCAGAGGGGGTTTCAGGGAAAATGGGCCGGCGGGGGGCGCAATGCGAGCGCCCCAACACGCGGGTGGAGTGTCCTATGCGGAGCGTACACCCTGATGTATAATGGATAGAACACAAAACTTCACCCTAAAAAAGAACTAGGCACACAGTTAAGAGCACCTATGAGTTAACATCAAGATTTATACAAATGATCACCGCATTAGTACTGATTTTGTACCTCATCTGCACCGTATTGAGAAATTAAAAAAGACACAATAAGCAACTATATACTAGATAGTGCACAGAGTATAAATATAAACAAAAATGTATCTTTAAATAGTTATTGTCGGTCTTAAAAGAACTAGTCATATAAGGCAAATCGCTGATAAGGTTGCTCGTTCCATGCAGGGACACTGGGAAAGAGAATCCATTCAAACTGTTAATGCAGTTCATCTTCTCACGTATTCGATTCTGACCTAAGACTGGATGAGGGCATGTGAAAGGAAATCTGAAAAGGTGAACAGCTCTTCGCAAGGTGCCCTAAAATAAAGATTTGTTATTGAGAGGTACGCTGTTAAACATAAAAATATGACCTAAATGTATAATGTAATAATACCATTATTTTAGAATATTTGGTTAACTACTGGCCAGTACCCTAGAAAATTACGTATTTTTTTCTGTGCTTGTTTGTCTTTGTGTTTAGGTATTTGGTGTATTTTAGCGAGCGCAAGGGTAACGTTTCTCCCAGCGTTGTCACCCAAGCATGTGTGCTCTAGTTCATTGCACCCTCTCGCCTCCCAGAGCATATTTCCTCAACGCGAATTGTGTCTCTATTGAGACCCATACAGTTTCAACAACACAAGCTGGGTCACTAACAGGCAATATAAACTTTGACCACGCCATGGCGCTAAACTTTCTGCAGACAAGGGGGACAGGGGTTCAATTTCCAACAGTAAAGGAGACCAGGGAGCGGGTCACGGAACTCCATAGGCCATCAGTGCATCCACAACACTTAAAGCTTCCTCAAAAGTGCGGGCCATGTGCACTGGAGCCACGATAACTATGCTAAATCTTGACAAATGATTTTATTCAAAAAGGATTTTAAAGCGCAAATTTCACAGTTCTTTAAAAATCCAGTCCATGTATAGAGACTACGGACTGTCAAAACATTGGTGGGACCTTCACATCCCCTGTAATCCCCACCACTTTGGAGGAGGCCAGGTGGTTAGATCACACATGAAGCGGTCTCAGGATAGTGATTTTAGCCTATGAGAACACAAGCCGTAGGACCATACATGGTGAACATTGTCCTTACCTAAAAATACAAAAATTTATCTGGGAAGGGTGGTAATGCTGTAATTACAGCGTACTGGGGGAGGTTGAGGCCATGAGAAAATGCTGAAAAACTGGATGGGGCGGGAGGGGTGCAGTGAGCTGAGGATCCACACCATGGCATCCCAAGCCTGGGCAACAAAGAGTAAAAACCCATTTAAAAGAAAAAAAAAAAAAAAGCGAAAAAGAAAAAAACATAAATTTTCGCTAGCGGCTATGCCCTTATCTGGCCGTAGAAACACTGTGTGAACAAATGAAAGTTTTTAGTGTTTGCACACGCACGCCTGTGAACTACCATACACCTTTACTCTCTGATTTTGGTATAGGTGTGATCCGTGCCGAGTCAATGTGTGGAGACCTGCCACTGTCACCTCTTCTATCCAGCGCCACTAACGGACAATAGGTCGTTTCGACGTTAGCCAGTACGTCATTGCCCACACAGCTGACATCATAATTTCAACCCATAAAACCACTAGTGTAGAACGCACTGCGGCGCTGGGCGGAGAGAGGAGTGGAGCCGCACTGTAAGATTCCCAAGAATGAGTATTGGTTTTTTTTTTTTTACTTCTTAGAGGTTCAGAGCCCTCGAGCAACCTACTGCTTATGGAACCGCATGAAAGAAGTCACACAGAGGTTTGCAGTGTGCCCTAAGAAATACTTAGGTCCGTAGAGGCGCCACGAAGTGGCGTGCACGCTTTAGGTCATCCGATGTAGCAAATGGAGGCTCTTCACATGGGAGTCGTCAAAATGCGTTCTAGCATCCGCGACAGCAAAGTAGAAAGACCAACGCGGCTGCCAACTCGTCTCAAAGATAAGAAGCATAGAAGTGATCATGCGGACAGTTGGCTTAGCAGAACTCTGAGCTAGCTGGTGTAACAAGAGACACAACCGTAGTGGTACGACACAGTTGTAGTTCAATACAACCGGAGACACACAACGCTAGACAACACCACAACTGCCAAACCACCGAATATCGTCCTCTTCTTGTCATTCCAAAGGCCTCTTAGAAAACATATCCAACACTACATAAAGGGAGCAAAACAAAACGATTATAAAGGGATAAAAGATGAAAAATGAAACCCTATCTAACGATTCCATGTAGACCAACCGCACAGAACAGCAAACCCAATGGATAACGTTACAATCATGGTATGATACACTAATTATTCCCACATTTCAAATAATTCAATAATCTGCCTTAATAAAGCCACACTTCAACTTAGTTTAACTATGATTCTAAATATAAATGATTTGCCTCAAGATGAGCATTTCTGATTTTTAATCTTTCAATCCTTTAACTTTTAAAAAAGTCACTAAAATATGTGGTTTATATATATCCTCTCCCCTACATTTTGTTACTAACAGATAAAACTTACTATTAGAAACCCACTCCCTACACCCCAACTACGTTTTTTCTTTTATTTTTTAGGCCATTGGAGTCTGTTATTGCACTCACTGCGACCATATATCCTAAAAGGCACAGGGACGATGTCGTACGACATGCAACAATCTAGCTCACTGCAACCTCCGCATACTGGGTGTCAAGAGAGTTCCTTCCACATCACCTTCCCAAGTAGCTGGGACAACACCGAACATCTAGCCTAGCAGATTTCAACCCACGGCCAAAATCCGATTTTTTGTGGTTCATCTTTTTTTTATATCTTTTAGTACGAGAGGGAGTTTCCTCACATTATGCTGGGATACAGAACCTGACTGAAAGCCAGGCACCCTGCCATTTAGCGTTCTTAATTTAAATAAAAAGTTTTGTGATAGGGGGACAGGCGAGCACTCACTCTAGAATAGGAAAACTGAGGTTTCAAAAAGGCTGCAAGGTTTTCAAGGCCATTAACACTTAATAATGGCAATGAAACCAGAGCCAAGGATCACACCCATCGGGCCAAGACTTTTAATTTATTGATTTATTTTTTGAGGGGAAAAGTCGTTCACTCTGTTCGCAAGCTAGAGTGTAAAATGAGGAATAGAAGCTCACTGCAAAAACTCTGCTTCTTTTCAAGTCAAAAGCAATTCTCCTACCTGAAGCATCACGACGAAGTTGGAATTACCCTAACACAGCCAATGCCCAACCACGTTTTATGCACCAACCACAACCAGTGCTAATTTTGTATTTTTAGTAACGAGAGGCGGTGGTAGGCCAGGGATGTCTCCAATCTTAATTAACTCAAATCAAGTGATAAAAGGTTTCATCGCACGGCCTATAACACTTATCGACCATCAAGTGATGTGTATAACCAC